CACCTCTGTCAATTTTGATTAAATTACTCTTCATTTACACCAGAGTAAGTAAGAGGAGAATCTACACCCATTTTTTATTGTGGTAGTGTTTAGTTGCACGCCTTAAATTTTTCAGAGCTGTCTTCACATATTGCTTGTACTGTTTTGCAGGCTTTTCACCCTGATAGCTTGTCTTTTTCTTAAATAGCATCTAAATTTAGCACCTTTTATTCTTTGTAAAAGGGAATAATGGTTTCCAAAGCTCAACAACAGATGGCTGAAGTTTACAAAACTGCTGGCAAATGCATTAGTTTGAACTGAGTCTAAGTTCTCTGCAAACATGTTGCTTTTCTGTCAGTGGACATAGACTTGTTTATTTCATGCTTTTTTCCATATGGTCAGGGCAACTAAAAAATTAAAATATAATGAAAATCATTTAGAAAAAGCATGAATATAGTTTGTTTGATTAGTTTCTCTTTTGTATATGTAAGCAAAAAAAAAAAAAAAAGTTGATGTAAAATATTCCTGCAGTAGCTTAAGCTATTGAAAAGAACAGGACTGTAATGCCCTTCAGCTAACTAGAAACTGGAATATGTCATGTCATGCACTCTTTTGTTGTAAGGAAAAGTGTTGGGCAGAATGCATCTTACAAGAGGACTTAAATTATAATGAATGTGGGAGAGATTTTTTAAATAAATGAGTTTTAGAAAAAGAAAATGACTACAAATGTCTTATTGAAAGTTACTTGTAAATTCACTCAACATTTTGAAAGGATAAAGGCAAATGTCATGGCCACAGGCAGATACACAAATACCTTTAATACAATAGAGTGGTGATTATGTAATATATAACAATTCTTTTTGTGCTTTTTATTGCTATTTGGTGAATGACAACCCTCCCCAGATTGTGACTGCTGGGTATCCCTGGAATAGCCATCAGCCACCAGGCACCTTGTGATCTTTCCATAAATGTCCTCTGGTTTGGAGTTCAGAGAGAATGGATTCACCTCTCCACGCTTTGATGAAGTCCAAGGTCTCCTGGACACTCCATGCTGGCACTCTTCTGCGCCCTTGGGAATTGGAGCCTGTAGGAGCAGAAGTATTCAAACTCATTTCAGTGTTACTAGAATTGGTCTAAGTCATGTTCACAGGTGCTGTGATGTGCTGGCTACTCTGAAATATGCTTGCAATGCTGGCCACATGGGAAATGCAATACAAATTTTCCCCTGGGCTTTTTCTGCTCACCTGGAGAACAGTCGACGCATAAGTTCTGGCCAGGGCCATCAGATTGGAGAACTGTGGAGGCCTCCTGGAGGTCAATGGTCAGCAACGCTGCATCTACACTGGGGCTATGTCTACACTGCAGGCTTTTTGTGCAAGAACACCTGTTCTTGCGCAAAAACTTGCAGAGAGTCTACAATGCACGCGTGTTCTTGTGCAAGTAAATTTACAGTAAAGCGTTGGAAAACAGGGCTTCTTGCGCAAGAGTTATTCTTCACCTCCCGAGGAATAAGCCCTCTTGCGCAAGAGCTCTTCCACAAGAAGGCAGTATAGACAGGCAACAGGGGTTTCTTGCTCAAGAGAGCGTCCACACTGCCATAGACACTCTTGTGCAAAAGCACATCTCTTCCACAAAAGCACATGGCAGTGTGAACACACTCTTGTGGAAGACCTTTTGCACAAGAACTCTTGTGTAAAACAGTTCTTGTGCAAGAAGCCTGCAGTGTAGATGTAGCTTACAGGTTTGGTAGTGTGGATGCAATTGATCTTACGTGGCTAAATTTGATGTAAAATTCTAGTGTGGACCAGGCCTCAGTGATTGGATGGGCTTGCCTTACTTGTGCCAGTACACGTGCAAAATCAGTAGCATCCTGAATTCCCAGAGAAACAGAGAGCTCATGTCCATCTTGTATTTGTTTGTTTGCTCTTTTCTGTTTTGTTGTTTGTTCTGACCTGTCTTCTAACCTCAGTGATTGTGAATAATAAAGATTGGTTGTGGTGTGCTTGAACTGATAGATCAATAAGAATGGCTAAAATGAGTGAATTATAGGTCATTACCTGTTATTAAATCATCTGGAAACTCAGGAAGGGCAAACTGATTTACACAGTACTATTCTACTGCTACTCAGTTCAGAAGCTGCTCTGCTTTCCCTTCTGTCACCCCTCCAGTGAAAACAGCAGCCTCAAAAGCTGCTGTGATCTCTCCATTGGCCAGTCTTCCTGTACTGGATACAGAGCTCCTCTAAAGACAATTTTTGTATCAATTTAATCATATCAGGTTAGAAATAGATATAGTAACATTAATACAACCCCCTGGTTTGAATGCAGTTATACTGACATAAAAGTTCTCACATCATTAGATGTTATTCCCTTAAACATACAGAAATAAGTTGTCCTGATATAAGCAGCTTTATACTTGTAGACATGCCTCCAAACTAGAGGGTTACAGTAATGTAACTATAACCATTTCTAAACCAACTGGTTAAATAAGTATATACACTCTGTCAAATCAGCCTTGCTTTTCCCTCCATCATGAAGAGCCTCCAGGAGGGATGGACTGGCCTGGCGAGACATCGGGAATTTCCCGGTGGGCCATCCTCAGAAGGGCCAGTTGGAGGCTGCTGAAAGAGGAGGGGGATTGTGATGGGGCACCGCAGCCCCACACTTTCATTTCCCCGGCCATGTATGGGGCACGGTGCGGCCGAGGGAGTGCATGCGCTCAAACACCGTGCAACAGGTGAGAGAAGAGACCCCCCCGGGTGTGGTGTGACATCACGGCCTGGGACTTTAAAAGCGCTTGGTCCAGAGTTGCACTGCGTGGCTCAGCTCGAGGCTCAGCATGTGGTCTGGAGCCCCTGAAGCAGTTGGGGCCCGATCACAGACTCCAGCCCCACAAACTGGAAGGCAGAAGGTAGGTGGGGAGGGGTGGAAAAATAGGAGGAAGGGGTGGCAGAGGAAGGGGCTTGTGCTAAGGGGAAGGGACCAAGGGACAGGGTAGAGGAGAGACAAATGCCAGGGGGCCAAGTGGAGACAATGAAGAAAAGGGCAGGAGAGGAGGTGTCAGTGGGAGGGGGAACAGGGTGATGCTGGGAGAGGAGAGGGTAAGGGCATTGGGGGATGAAGGGGGAGGTTCTGGGAGAAGGCTTGAAAGAAGCGGTGGGCATGAGGAAGGCGGGGATGGAGCAAGTCATGTGTGAGGGCACAGGGGCATGAGAGGAATGGGGGGGCAGAGGGTGGTGAGGGGGTGGGCATCAGGGAAAAGGAGGGAAAAGGGGGTAGGGGCAGTAAAGGAAGGGGGAGGCACCAGGAGGGTGCAGGCATAAGGGAAAGTGCAGGTGCCAGGAGATTCTGGGGGTGAAGCAGAAGGGCAGACACCTGCAGGGGAGGGACCAGCACCAGAGGAGAGAGGCAGGGCAGGTGTGTAGAGGAAGGTGTTAGGAGAAGGGATGAGGAGGGGTAGCTCACATGATCAGAGTGGGGCTACTGGAGGAGTGGGCACAGGGGGGATGAGAAGGGCAGGTGGAAGGGGACAGGTCTCAGGAGGGCTGAGGGCAGTGAGAAGGGCAGAAGTCCGAGTCAGGACATCAGAGAAGGGTGAGGGGTTGTGGGTTTCACGAGGCATAAAGGATCTGCCGACAAAGGGTTCTGGGGTCGGCAGATCCCCATCTAGACTGCCACGTTGTACCAGCAAACGGCTGATCAGCACAGCGCAGTGGCCATTTTGATTTAAATGAAACGGCGATTATTTAAATCGCCTCTTCATTTCCCTTTGTTGTCCTGCCTCATCTACATGGCTCCGTCGACGGAGTCATGTAGTCTAGACACACCCTTACAGACTAACTCGGCTACCCCTCTGAAGCTCATGGACAGAATAATTATTGCAGCAATACACACAATGCTATGCTAAATATTATTTATTCCCACTGAACCAAATCTTCCTTTCACAGTAAAAGGGACCAATATTTGCCTGAGCTGTACCTAGCAAGAAACAAATACTTTAGCTATGTTATCATTCAACTGCTCACTGTAAATTTGAATTTTGCTAGCAGTTATTTGTCCTGATGTATACAAGAACAGTTCTCATCCATATCCTTGCAAAAGTTATCTGTAGACTGTTCGGGCAGAATTTTACAGATATAGATTATATTGAAAACTCTAGATTGTATTAATTTTAATAGTAGCTAAGTAAGACAATTTTGTCTATTAATTTAAGCCCCTGTGGATCTTACATAGTAGACATAGTATCTGGCCAGCAGTTTTGAAAGATTAGGAAAAACTTAAAGAACAACAAATAGACTAACAAAACATGTAGATGGTCTATGTGTTGTTTTTTAAGTTTTTCCTGTTACAGACTAACTTGGCTACCCTCTGAAGCTTTTGAACAATTAGGACTGTCAACAGTGAATGGAAATGTTTCAGGTATACTTGAATTAAGGATGTTATTTCTAAACGCAGCCAGTGAAATACAATCAAGCTTTTGTAATATCATATGGGGACCAAACCTAATTGGTTTCACAACTGTGGTGGCACCTCACATCCTGAAATTAAAGGGGAGAATGGCAGAGTACAGTTTTTTCTGCTCTATTAAAAGCAGATTGACAGTTCTTTTCATTTTCCCTCTTACTGGGCCTATGTCCCACAGAGTGTCCCATTCTCTGATTGATGAAGTGAGGATTCTGAAGGAATTTGAACTAGCAGCATATCAAGTAGTGCTAGAGGCTGGTGGAGAGCTTCTGAAGCCCTCAGTGTGCCTGCCAATAGATGCAATAGCTCAACCTGACAGGAGAAGACATGATGTCTGAGTCAAGAGGAATTCTTTACCAATCATCTGTTCTCTAGAAGAAGATCTATTCCTCTATTGGCTTCCTCACCTGTTCAGGGCCAGGGGCCAGGAAGGGGACACATTTTGATATGATCTTACCTTCTTTTCTGGAAGAAAAGATAGATCTAGCAGTAACATGGACCTGTTAGTTCTTTAATTCTGCGTGGAGATGAAATCTGAGAGGAGTGACTGGAGGGAAAATGGAAGAGATGGGAGAAAGGGACTTGAAGATGGAAGTAGGATATGACCTGACAGAAGATACCAACAGAGGGTGAGAGAAGATGAAAAGCTAAGAATGGGAGGGTGACAGAGATAACTGTTGACTCAGCATATGTCATTTTCATATCCTGGTTGTAGGTGAGCCTTGTGAAGATGGACCTCAACTCTGTGTGTGTGTGTGTGTGTGTGTGTGTGTGTGTGTGTGAACTGAGATGATAGTGAGGGGAAAAACATGAAATTAAAAAGGGGGTTGTAGGGAGAGAACTAGGGCACTTGAAAAGGTAAGGGGGAAAGAATTGTTAATGATAGGGAAACCAAAGATTAAAGAAAAGAGAGACAGACCTAGGAGTAAGTGGGGAAAAGGAGTGAATTAAAGGACAGAAAAGAGAAAATTTGGGAGACAATGTAAGATTTTTTTAAAAGACACTGTTTGATAGAAAGTCTTGTGGCAAAATATTACAATGAAATATGTAACAGTTAATTTATTTTTCATGGGCATGATTGAAGAGACAGAAGGAGGTTGAGAGATCCAGTTATGGATTGGAATGAGCCCAGTATTCTATGCACAGAGTGGCAGGATAATCTGCCTTGTTTTTTTTGTCCTCCTTCTTCATTTCTACTAACATCAGTCATGGTTTTTTATGTGTGCATTATTAATAGGAGCCTGGATGTTAGTGGTGCAAACCCACTGTCTTTTATTTTAAACAGAATATATAGTTGTCATTGACAACTATATCAGATATGTTACCTTTTTCCTAAAAGAGCTCTTGTGAAACACCTTCAAAAATATTGCATCAAATATTTAAAAATTCCCCAAGACAAACACCCCTTCCCATTCCCCATCCCCCACTTGTATTTATTTCTACATCAGTTCAGAATCTCCTTCCTGGTCAAATCTATATAATGGGATTTATTGGAAAGGGAGAGGGGAGCTTCAGAGATGCACTACTGCACAGCTCTACACACTTCCCACACATACCTTTACCTGACTGGCTGTGAACCTGTTTGGGAAAAAGACCTTAAGGATACATTTCTTCCCTTCTTCTTGCCACATCCCACACCTCAGGATGTTCTGGTGCATAAGCAGAGACAACCACCACCAAAAGAAGTGAGTTCCCTTTCCTATTTTGATTTACTTTTACCACTGACCTTATAGTTTAGTTAGAAAGATGCCTTACAAAGCTATTTAAAAGCTTCAGAGGGGTAGCCAAGTTAGTGTGTAACAGGAAAAACTTAAACAACAAATAGTCTAGTAGCACTTTAAGGACTATGTAAGAAATGCAAAACTGTTTAAGTGGTAACACAGCAATGGCACGAGGATAAAAAAATTAAAAACACCGTGAGGTGCTTAGATATGAGGTAAAAGAGAGAGATTTAAGAATCCCGATCAGTAGCAGAATGATCTTCATTCTGCACTCATCACACAGTTAAGTCCATGGCAGTTTTGTGTAAGTTCTTCAGAATAGGAACAGTTTCTGGCCAGCTATTTGTACATCACATGGTACAAAGGGCAAAAATATGATTGGAGCCTCTGGTCACTAAGTTAATATCAATAATAGTTATAATAGGTTCTTCTTCCTTAAACAGCAAACAATCACTCTGAAAACACACAGAAAAAACAGAGAACAGCAACATAGCATGTTTAAAAGCAATGAAAAAGTCATAAACTACTCAACAAAGAAGGTATTTTCACCGTACAGTACCAAAAAAAGTAAACTGCTCTTTGTACTGAAATGTTCCGTTAGTGTCCAGACCTAATTTATTACTGGGGCAACTGATTTAGGTGCTATATTCCACAGAAATCCAAAAATAGTTTTTTATTGTTTGTCCCCTTTGAACTAGGTATGTAAAAATGATAGAAAAACATTAATCATGTAACTGATCAAAATATTATCGTTTACATGGTTAAATATTTTAGGGGATGTTGTGGTTGGGGAAGAAGG